AACTTGGTTGTCCACCACTTCAATATTTCTGTAGTTGCTTCAATATTGATTGTGTACTATTGTTCTCAAGCGCACCTATTTATTACCTGTCTTTCTCTCCATCCGTCCTCTCCCCCCCCCATCTCTCTCTCTCTCTCTCTCTCTGTCTGTCTCTCTTTGTCTCTCTGTCTCTCTTTCTCCCACCTCCCTCCTTCCATCTCTCTCTGTCTCTCCCTCCTCTCTTTCTCCCTGTCTCCCTCTCTCTATATGTCTCTCCCCCCCGTCTCTCTCTCTCTCTTCCCCCCCCCCCTCTCTCTCTCTCTCTCTCTCTCTCTCCCTCTCTCTCTCTATGTCTCGCTCCCCCAGGGCCACTCTAAGGGCCCCTTCCTGGTGAGCGCCCCCCTCTCCACCATCATTAACTGGGAGCGGGAGTTTGAGTTATGGGCGCCGGACTTCTACGTGGTGACTTACACCGGAGACAAGGACAGCCGCGCCGTCATCCGGGAGAACGAGTTCACCTTTGAAGACAGCATTGTCAAGACGGGACGCAAGGTCTTCCGCATGAAGGTGGGGTGAAAGACAGCGTTTAAATCTAAGACTAGATATCGTCTTAGATTTGGGATATTGTCATGTCGTGATATGGCGTAAGTGTTGTCTTTTCCTGGTTTTAAAGGCTGCATTGCAGTAAAGTGAGGAAAAGAATGAGAAAATCCTCAGTCCTTTTCGTTTGTCAAGTATTTAATTCACACAGCAGTATACGAAAACAGGCTTTACCATGTGGTTATTTTATGTAGACTTTTTATTCCTTGGGTGACCAGAAAGCATGCTATATCATATACAGTATATCGTTATCGAGATATTGAATGACCCATATTAGCCCATAAAATCACACTTGTGTGCCTCCCATTTGTTTTGTGTTGTGCAAGCTGTATTATGTGTATGCCAATGAGGAATGCATTATGTCTAATTTTTCTTTTTAAATCCATAACTTTGGTGTGAATTTGATGTATATTTTCTTTCTGGGGCTTTCACAGAAAGACACGCCCATCAAGTTCCACGTGCTCCTCACCTCCTACGAGCTGATCACCATCGACCAAGCCATTCTGGGATCCATCCACTGGGCCTGCCTAGTCGTGGACGAGGCCCACAGACTCAAGAACAACCAATCGAAGGTAATATTGATTCCTGTCACATGCACGTTAAAGGTGTGGTGGCCGCGAGTGCATTGCATTTCTAGCTGTATACGTCGGAAGCCCGTCTTCTTCGCTGTTCACTTTACAGGCGTTCAATTATCTCTTCTCGCGCTTTGAATGCCGACTGCTTTGGATGGGCTCGGAGATAAAACACGGATGTAAACAAAGCAAAAAAAAAACTTGGATAGACTTGGGACGCAATTTTCTCCTGCGGCTTGAGGTAGAACAATCAATCATATGTGACACTGTGTAGAAAATGTAGAAACTGTTGAAAGAAATCCATCACTGCATCTTTAATTGAACAAGGAGCAGCAGCCAACAATGGCAATGAAATGCTTGACTTCCAGTGAGTAACGACAATGTCTGTCATTCAATATCTCACAGTCTGAGTTTGAATCTACGATCTGTATGTCAATCAATAGTGCAGCATTTGTTTTGAGCCGGTATCCATAGCCTGACCGTGTCCAATGTGTGTGCTTCAGTTTTTCAGGATCCTAAACGGCTACAAGATCTACTATAAGCTGCTGCTGACAGGGACGCCCCTTCAGAACAATCTGGAGGAGCTCTTTCACCTGCTTAACTTCCTCACCCCAGAGCGCTTCAAGTAAGACCCTCTCCCTCCCCCCTTCCCCTCCCCTCGCCATCACTTTCCATCACTCCACACACCTCTCTTCATTTTAAATCCGCGAACAATGTTTTCACTGCAATCTTCCATCCAGCCTCCGGTCCTTTGATTTTGATTGAATTATTCCCCACTTCTATCCATCCAAGTTTATCTTTCCATTCATCGAGCCACACAATTATTTCCTTTTTTACCAACAGTCCCATCTTTCTTCCATCTGTCCATCATCACCCCTCCACCCTTCTCTCCTATCACCTCTATATCCTTCTGTCCATCACCCCTCTATCCTCTCCACTACCTCTCCATCCTTCTCTCCATCCTCCCTCTATACTCCTCTCATCACTCCCTCTATTCCTCTCTCCTTCATCCCTGTATCCTTCTCTCCATCACCCCTCTATCCTTCTCTCCTTCATCCCTGTATCCTTCGCTCCATCACCCCGCTATCCTTCTGCCCTTCATCTCTCTATCCTTCTCTCATCACCCCTCTCTTTTTCTCTCCTTCATCTCGCTATCCTTCTCTCCTTCATCCCTGTATCCTTCTCTCCATCACCCCTCCATCTGCGACCTCCAGTGATCAGTTGTACCCCAGCCGGATCAGCTGAACTATGATCAATATTTCGCTTCCACACTGTAGCAAGGTTAGAAATGCACAGTTCCACCATCTACAACCCCATGTCTTTTATTATATAGTTAACCATGCATGGATATGCTAATTATCAACAAGCCATAGTTGTAATGAGAGATATCAGTGTCTATTAGAGTGGAAAACAGGACACGACTTTCACGTTCTGGACCAGGATTTTGCACACTAAAGCGGGAAAAAATTCCTCCATTCCCCCCATATCTGTGTCCTCCCTCCATCCTATTAATCTGTCCCAGGGGCCCTGCTGTTAACCCCAGCTGTGGGTCCCAGTGGTGGGGCTGCCCTATCAGGGAGGGTTGGCTGGTCAGGGAAAAGCTCCAGTGATTTCACTGCAGGACCCATCATGATGACAGTCCTCTGTGGCCCTCAGTGCTTCAGGCTTACAGTTGTTAGGGTAACACACTCTAGAATAACACTCCCCGATTCTGGTGCCCCGCCTGGAGCTGTCCCCGGAAATGTCCCAGTTTTTACAAAATAGGATTTTTTAAATATATGAATGGCAAAAGGTTCTAGCTTGCTCGTGAATATTCATTTAAAGACAATATTAATAATTAAGACGGCTGGTAATTAGGCTTGTGTCTATCAACGCGGGGATCTATCTGTCAACTTTATTAACAATTCCCTATTCGAGGAGCCTACTTTGGCTTGTTTTTGGCTGGTTTACCAAAACTTAAAACACATCATAGCAAACCATTGCACATGTAGGCTACTGCCCAGTCTTTTACTGCAGTACTTCATTTATGAGAATAGGCAAAATGTGAATACGTCTCCTTTTTTATTTCAGAAATACTAACATCAGATATTTTGTTGATTTGTGCCAAACTACAAATGTCACCGTTTTTCATTTCAGAAATCTGGTCACCTTAACTTTGAGTACTATTTATTTATGATTTATTTCTTACTTACTTATCAAAGCTGCAATCAGCAATTTTTGCATTACAATGCTCCTATGCTTCCAAAATGGAGGCGGCCATTGCGATGTGACGTCGCGATGTACAAGCCCTGTTCATCCGTACGATGTCTGTGTATTCACCATGAATCCACGTCTTACCGTGACCCTGACAGCAACCTGGAGGGCTTCCTGGAGGAGTTTGCGGACATCTCCAAGGAGGACCAGATCAAGAAGCTCCACGACCTGCTGGGGCCCCACATGCTGCGCCGGCTGAAGGCTGATGTCTTCAAGAACATGCCCTCCAAGACGGAGCTCATCGTCCGCGTGGAGCTGAGCCCCATGCAGAAGTAAGGCATCTGCACTTCCCATTCCCCTGCCACTATGGCGTCTGTATGTTGTCACCGTCCACGCTAGGGCTAGAGCTCCTCCGTCCGCGTGGCGCTCGGCCCCAATGCAGAAGAGCTCCCATTCCCCGATGTTGCGTTGGTTTGTGCCACAGTTGTAAAAGGGCCACTGGACCCTCGTGCCGCTATGCCAACATTGCTCACTACCTTTCCAAAAAAAACAAAAACAGATTGTGTCTTTCATACCGCCGCTCATACTACTTCCTGTCTCTCCCTGACCCCCGCACAGGAAGTACTATAAGTTCATCTTGACGCGGAACTTCGAGGCGCTGAACTCCAAGGGCGGCGGCAACCAGGTGTCCTTGCTCAACATCATGATGGATCTGAAGAAATGCTGTAACCACCCCTACCTGTTCCCCGTCGCCTCCATGGTGAGCCCGCCCCACACACACACACCCGCACCTAACCCCCTCCCCCCCCCCCAACCTCCCTTACCTGTTCCCCTTCACCGCTACGCTGAGCCCACACCACTGCACCACACACACACACACACACAAGTCCGGCTCAGTCTCCCGCTAACCCTTGTACGACCTGAATATTGATGTTAAGCTATGTTGTGTTCCCACACACCGCTTTCTATTCCCCAGCTCAATGGGAACTCCCATTGAGCTGAAGAAAAAAGAAAAAAAAGCCATTGACAAACAATACATTGCGATGGGCTTAACACGATCCAAAAGGTGACCATGGGCTTTTCACGTTCACCTTACCCTCAACAAAAAAAAACACAACAATATGTACACTGACACAAAGCAACCTGAAAGTGAGGCTGAGAACATCAAATCATGCAATCGAAATTGCAATAGCAACAAAAGCAGTTCTAGTTCTAGGTAGCCATAGGAAGCGGAAAATCCAGATAGAGGCGGGCGATGGCGACGCTGATAACACTGATGCTTCACTTCCTGTGCGTCTGTACAGGAAGCGCCCGTAACGCCCAACGGCTCGTATGACGGGAACCAGTTGGTGAAGTCCTCAGGGAAACTCACTCTCATGCAGAAGATGCTGAGGAAGCTGAAGGACCAGGGACACAGAGTACTCATCTTCTCTCAGGTAACCGCCACAGTCTTCCTGAATTTCATTATACTTCTCTGAAAAGAAGACATGCTTGCTGGCTTTGTGAGTTTGATGAACCGTCGTTTTTCATTGATTGATTGATCGATAGATTGATTCATTTGTTTTTCAACCCTAATTCAAATTCTGATGAATACATTTAAAAAAGGCATTTGGTGGTGATTTTATCCACAGTGTCTTACAGTGAGTGTATACTTTCTGAGCATGGCCAGTGGGAATTGAACCTCCTCACCCTGGCAGTGGTAACGCCATGCTCTACAAGTTGAGCAAGGCAGGACATATTATTGGGGCAGGTTGTGGGGTTTGCCTACCATCCAAAAGGTACTGGGTTCGATCTCCCACAGTCTAACTGTAGGCATTTTGATGCCAAAGATGCCCTAACCCCTACCTATGTTTATCTCAATTCACTGTAAGTCACTTTGTATTAAAGTGACTTCCGCTAAATGATTAAATAGTAACCGCAACATTAATATCGTTACACAAAGCAAAAATACACAATACACAGCCCAGCTATATCACACTAACATCAACACCAAACCGAGTGTCACAGCACCGTAGCCCCACCATGATGGGGTTACCATAGTAACCGTGTCCCGGCGTCCGTGTGTCAGATGACCAAGATGCTGGACCTGCTGGAGGACTTCCTGGAGTACGAGGGCTACAAGTACGAACGCATCGACGGGGGGATCACCGGGGGGCTGCGGCAGGAGGCCATCGACCGCTTCAACGGTGAGCACCTCCTCCTGCTCCTCCTTTCTCCTCCTCTGTGCTGGATGTGTGTGTAACCTTGAGAAGGAACGCAGAGTGGGGGGATCCCTCCTCCCAGGGATGGTTAGGAGTGCAATGGGTGCCATAATGGACATACGTAATAGTAGTATTACAAGCAAACAAGTACAATTGAATTGTTAGAAATAGAAAATTACTATTGTTCCTAGTGATGAGGTGCTAGTCAGTATTTCTGTGCATATTTCTGTTTGTGTTTTTTTTAAATTGTTTTGTAATGTGTTTTCTGTGTTTGCATGTCTATGTATGTATACATTAATACACTTAATATGTAAGTAAATGTAAGTAAGTAACTTTATATGAGTATGTGTACAGTATATGAGTTTTAGTCTATATATGTCTAACAGTCTATAGATGTGTACAGTATGTGTGTGTCAGTCTATATATGTGTGTGTTTGTAAACCGTGTATTTTTTCCATAGCACCGGGCGCTCAGCAGTTCTGCTTCCTGCTGTCGACACGCGCCGGTGGCTTGGGCATCAACCTGGCCACCGCCGACACCGTCATCATCTACGACTCTGACTGGAACCCCCACAATGATATACAGGTACCACACACACACACACACACTCTCACCCCCCCCACCCCCACAACGATATACAGGTACCCCCCCCCCCCCCCCCACACACACACACACACACACATACTCTCACCCCCCTCCCCCCACCCCACAATGATATACAGGTAGTATAGTATATACTAGAAGTACACCATCATCTCTTCACCTCTTCTCACCCTCCCTCCCTTCTCTCTCGCTCCTCTCATCTTTCTTCCTTCCCTTCTCCTGAATCATCTCTTGGTTATCTCCCCCCCCCGCCCCCCCCCCCACATCTATCCTCCCTGCAGGCCTTCAGTCGAGCCCACCGCATTGGGCAGAACAAGAAGGTGATGATCTACCGCTTCGTGACGCGCGCCAGCGTGGAGGAGCGCATCACGCAGGTGGCCAAGAGGAAGATGATGCTGACCCACTTGGTGGTGCGGCCCGGCCTGGGCTCCAAGACCGGCTCCATGTCCAAGCAGGAGCTGGACGACATCCTCAAGTTCGGCACCGAGGAGCTCTTCAAGGACGAGGTGGAGGCGGCCCGCGCCATGGGCATGTTGAAAGGTGTGTGTTGTGTTTTTTAAGTGTCTTTAACTTAATTCATGTTTTCAAAGTTGTTTTTTTTTCAAATTAACTATGCAAGTGGTTCACTACCATATTTTTTATTAAATTAAATGTATATGAGTTGTGATATGAGTTGTTATTATCCTTATTATCTAAGGAAATAGTTAAAAATAGATATTTTGGCTGATGACTATTTATCCATATCAAGCTGTTTATTCAAAATGAATGCCATTAATTGACCTTATCATTACTCTCTTTTACATTGGTATTAGGATATTCCTACCTAGTTTGGTCAAATTAAATATTCAAACAAAAAATATACTTTTGCTGTTATACTGTTACACAAGCTACATATCAAGCTGTTTGTTCAAAGCATTTACCTGATTACCGGTCAGGTGCTTCAGGCGTTTAGTTCCGGTGTTTTGAGAGGTGTGTGTTTTGCGTCGCCAGGGGACATGAAGGAGTGCGATGAGGGCAGTGTGATCCACTACGACGACAACGCCATCTCCAAGCTGCTGGACCGCAGCCAGGACAACACCGAGGACACAGAGATTCAGAACATGAACGAGTACCTGAGCTCCTTCAAGGTGGCCCAGTACGTGGTGAAGGAGGAGGATGGGGAGGTGAGGCCTGCTCTGGGTTAGTTAGTTAGTTAGTTAGTTAGTTAGTTAGTTACTAACTAGTGAGCTCCTTCAAAGTGGCCCAGTACGTGGTGAAGGAGGAGGTTGGGGATGTGAGGCCTGTTCTGGGTTAGTTAGTTAGTTACTAACTAGTGAGCTCCTTCAAGGTGGCCCAGTACGTGGTGAAGGAGGAGGACGGGGAGGTGAGGCCTGCTTTGGGTTTGTTAGTTATTTAGTTATTTAGTTATTTAGTTATTTAGTTAGTTAGTTACTTACTTACTTACTTACTTACTTACTTGCTTGTGAGCTCCTTCAAAGAGTACTTGGTGAAGGAGGAGGACAGGGAGGTGAGGCCTGGTCTGGTTTAATTAGTTAGTGAGTGAGTGAGTTACTTAGTTACTTAGTTACTAGAAGTAGTTAAAATGTGTGTGTGTGTGTGTGTGTGTGCGTGCGTGCGTGTGCGTGCGTGCGTGCGTGTGTGCCTGTGTGTGTTTCAGTGTGTTTTTGTGTGTGTGTTTTACTCATCGCTGTGTAAATCCCCGCCCCCAGGAGGAGGTGCAGCGTGAGATCATCAAGCAGGAGGAGAACGTGGACCCGGACTACTGGGAGAAGCTGCTGCGCCACCACTATGAGCAGCAGCAGGAGGACCTGGCCAGGAACCTGGGCAAGGGCAAGCGCATCCGCAAGCAGGTCAACTACAACGACGCCACGCAGGAAGACCAAGGTTGGCAGCCCAGCAATACACCCCCCTCACACACTGGGCTCATCTCCCAGGATACACACCCCTCACACTGGATACACTCCCCTCACACACTGGGCTCATCTCCCAGGATACAGACCCCTCACACTGGATACACCCCCCTCACACACTGGGCTCATCTCCCAGGATACACACCCCTCACACTGGATACACCCCCCTCACACACTGGGCTCATCTCCCAGGATACACACCCCTCACATTGGATACACCCCCCTCACACACTGGGCTCATCTCCCAGGATACACACCCCTCACACTGGATACACTCCCCTCACACACTGGGCTCATCTCCCAGGATACACACCCCTCACACTGGATACACTCCCCTCACACACTGGGCTCATCTCCCAGGATACACACCCCTCACACTGGATACACCCCCCTCACACACTGGGCTCATCTCCCAGGATACACACCCCTCACACTGGACACACTCCCCTCACACACTGGGCTCATCTCCCAGGATACACACCCCTCACACTGGATACACCCCCCTCACACACTGGGCTCATCTCCCAGGATACACACCCCTCACACTGGATGCACTCCCCTCACACACTGGGCTCATCTCCCAGGATACACACCCCTCACACTGGATACATGCCCAGTATACACACCCCACACACTGGTTATACTACTATTATACACTCCCCTCACACACTAGGCTTATCTCGGATACACTCCTTAAGGCCTCAACATGCTTCTGCGTGCACGCCTTGCAACAATGCTGCACACAGTTTTCAATTTATGTCTACCTACGCAACGTGTCCTTACAACCAAATGTCCACCAGAGGGTGATTTATCAACCGACTACACAACCAATGTGTGCAACATCGGCGGATAATAGATCGTAAAATAAAAAGTCACCCCCTTTTTTTTTTCTTCAAACAATAGCCGGTGAACACACCTGCTATGTTTTGTATACAATTGGTGAAAGGTTGAGAGGTTGCACACGCGGCCCCGCTCGTCAATCCACCAATCAGTGATCTGCAAAAACTGTGTGAGCGTTGATGTTGCAGGCGCCTGGTTGCGTTGCGTACGTGCTGCTTTCGCCCGAGCATGTATAGGCCTTCGCACCTGGAGGCACACCTATGACACACTCCCCTCACACTGGATACACACGCCCCTCACGTGGGCCTCCCTCCCTCCCGGGATACACACCTCTTGTTTGCGTTGCATTCCTCAGTGGGGTTTAGTGTAAAGTTGAGGGAATTATATGACAGTCCCTGCAATTGAATCCTCATCTTTACAGGTAATTGAATCTAGTGTTGAGTTTCCTAGGAGCACTATGTTACTGTTGGCCCTCATGCTTTTCAAATGACAAGACGAAGGGCTCGGCTACACTCATCGTTTCAATCCGCCTATTGCGATCCGATCATCCAGATCAGATTATTAACTAATAATATATTGTAATAACACAGTGATGTAATGAAACACACCTTGATGCTGATATTCTTCAGTTGAAATGAGAAAACTCAACGCTAGACAAAATTGTTAAGATGGGGATTTATACAGGAATTTATTGATTCACCGTAGTCACAGATTCCCATCCAAAGCACTTATTTGCGTTAAAGCGAGCGAGAGACAAACACACACTAAAGCCCATAATCACTCAGAGTGGTTGACCCTCTTCCCCAGTGTCGAGGACCAGACTGAGGACAGAGTGAGTTATAATAAAGTAGAGGGAGGGAAAAACAGCATGTGTGGCTCCTGGGTACCCAGACCACTGTCATGTGCACAAACTGAGCATGCATGGCGCAATTCACAATGTATCTCAATGCATGTGTGCATGCAGGCATTTGGCAGAACGTTTGACAAAGACTTGGCCTTTAAACACAAAATGTCCTCTCCCCACTCCCTCCAAAAAGCCAATTTTTAACCAATTCAATTAATGGAAAGTGGGTGGTGTAAAAAGAGGCAAAATAAACACGCTCTCTCTCGCCTTTATTTATCTCATGGTTGGATGCTGGCATGGCTAACCATAGCTATAGCTAATAGTCCTGTACT